AGCTGGCCATGTAAAGAGGATAACCTCTACTTGGTTCTAGAAAACTGTTGGCAGGTGGACTTGGGACAAGAGTTACCCTAATATCACATTTCTCCAAATATGAAAACTCTGTTAATTGAAAGTAACACCCTTATTTTATGTACCATTAAGAAAGACAAGATGCTGCCAATTACATCACACCATCATATTTCAGTAGTACAAAAATATGAAAAAAGATGTGTCTGATAGTGAAATATGGTATTTCTGATTTTTCAGAGAAGCCAGAAATCTGCGTTTTGATGTAAAATATGATCATTTTTAAGACACTGTAAGCTAATTTTTTTAAGTTAAAAAACTATGTGTGGGGGCTTCCCTGGAGGTGCAGTGGTTGAGAACCTGCCTGCCAATGCAGGGGACACGGGTTCGAGCCCTGGTCTGGGAAGATCCCACATGCTGCGGAGCAACTAGGCCTGTGAGCCACAACTACTGAGCCTGTGTGTCTGGAGCCTGTGCTCCGCAACAAGAGAGGTCACGATAGTGAGAGGCCCGCGCACCGCGATGAAGAGTGGCCCCCGCTTGCCGCAACTAGAGAAAGCCCTTGCACAGAAACGAAGACCCAACACAGCCAAAAAAGAAAAAAAAAACTATGTGGGACTGTATTTCTAGAGGGCCCCAGAACTACGAGTTTGCAGCCTCAGCTAGCTTCATCTAATTACTAGTTCTGATCCTCTATTTGAAGATTTTCAATAATTCTCATGTTTCATACTTTCAGAATTATTTAGGGCTAGTCATTTCTTCACCTAAATATAAATTTAGGTTCAAGAATTTTTTACTTTCCTTGGTTTTCAGCTAATTGCCTGTGGAATAAAGTAAGGAAGGCAGAGGGGAAAACTGCGTTTAAAAGAGTAGGATTTAGGGACTTCCCTGGTGGCACAGAAGCCGCCTGCCAATGCAGGGGACATGGGTTTGAGCCCTGGTCCGGGAAGATCCCACATGCCGCGGAGCAACTAAGCCCATGCGCCACAACTACTGAGCCTGCACTCTAGAGCCCGCAAGCCACAACTACTGAGTCTGCACTCTAGAGCCGGCGAGCCACAACTACTGAAGCCCGCGCGCCTAGAGCCTGTTTTCACAACAAGAGAAGCCATCGCAATGAGAAGCCTGCACACCGTAAGGAAGAGAAAGCTCCCGCTCCCCACAACTAGAGAAAAGACATAAAACAAATAAATTTATTTTTTTAAAAAAAAGAGTAGCATTTAATCTCGTGGTTGAGGTCAAGCATGATTTCCTCATCATTTCAATTTCTTGGACTCAATTTCTGCCCAGCTATATAGCAATGGAATCACAAAAAGAAGAAAACTAGTTAAACTTATTCTTTATAAATATTTCCATCAGGGGCTTCCCTGGTGGCGCAGTGGTTGAGAATCTGCCTGCTAATGCAGGGGACACGGGTTCGAGCCCTGGTCTGGGAGGATCCCACATGCCGCGGAGCAACTAGGCCCATTAGCCACAACTACTGAGCCTGCGTGTCTGGAGCCTGTGCTCCGCAACAAGAGAGGCTGCGATAGTGAGACGCCCGCGCACTGCGATGAAGAGTGGCCCCCGCTTGCCACAACTAGAGAAAGCCCTCGCACAGAAATGAAGACCCAACACAGCAAAACTAATAATAAATAAATTAATAAACTCCTACCCCCAACATCAAAAAAAAATTTCCATCAGGCAGGACAATCACATACTTTGCTAAATAGCTTTGGCTGGGTCTGTAACTAACCAACAACATCCCTTTTTCAACTACTAGTTGGAGCTACCAAGTATGTAAGCAAGAGAGTGCTCACTTTACGTAGGAGTTGAGGAGCATCACTAGGTAAAACCATTACTTCATAAAGAGCTTTGATTAGATAGCCCGCCGACAGATTTCAAGTCTAAGATAGCAGTATTTCTCAAAGTGTTGTGGGAGCCCTCCAATTTTAGAATCATTTGAAATGCACATTCCTGAATCCCCCCCCAATTAATTAAACATTCATAATCTGCACTCCAACTTAGGCCAAAATCATACTCATGCATACTGAAATTTGAGAAACACTACCCTAATATGCTGTGTTAGAGAGGGTTTTATAATGTTACAATGTTACTAATAACTGAACTGACAGTCATTCAGAGGGCAACCTGGGCGTATCACAGGTTACAAATACTGCGGCAATCAGTGTTATACACATTCCTCTCGTAACCAACCCCACCCTCTATCTCGCCGGGGCCGGGGGGGCGCGGATTACTCCCATGTAAAAAGATATCCTTATTCACACTCCCCCTTCCATCACCTTTCCCACTCTACTCCGCTCTTTGCTTTTTGCCCTCTGCTCTTTGCCCTCCCTTTTCTCTGCCAGAGTCTCTGGCAGAGATTAACCCAACCTCCAATCAGCCCCACACCACCCGGTGCCAGGGCTTCTCTTTCGCCTTAGGCCTCAGAATCTACCGAGCCAGCATCCGCTACCGGCTCCCTTCCGCTGTTTGAGGACCTCCGCCATCCTCAACCCTCCAGTTACCCTTTTCCACTTCCAATCTTCTCTCAGCTTTGGCTACGAGGCCTGGAGGGTACTCACCATTCCGGCGGTTGCTACTGTCACTGCTCTGGTTGCTAGGGCCCGCCGGGATCAGTGCGCATGCGCACCTCTTGGAGCTCTCCTTGAATCCCTACCCCGGCAGTGGTCTTTTCTCTCCGCCCTCAGTGTGGCGCAAGCAGGGCATTGTGGGACCGCGCGGTGTACGCCGGGGTCCTCCCGCTCCGCGGTTGCTAGCTACCCAGGGACTGCAAGCGCAGCAACTGGTGGCACAGAGGGGTCGAGAGCATAACCTCGTGGAGTGGTTGGGAGATGTCTTTTTCCCTTGTGAAAGTAATTTCAGCTAATCTGGAGTGACGTACCGGCTTAAAGTTTAAAACTTTGAAACCTCCCTGTAACAACTGCCACACCCCATAAAGGAACTTTAAAAATTCCCTTCCTTTGCAGATTGCCCTTCCCGTTCTCTTGACTCCCTGCTGTAATTTACCTAGTTGTCCGACTGAGGATACCCAGACACGGCTGCATTTCTTCGGTTAGCTTCTCCCAACCCCTTCAGGCAGCCTGAGGCGGCTGAAGCATGAAATGCTGGTTTTACATAACCGAGGTGTCTTTATACCCCCAACTATCAAATTAGCCAAAAACTAAAAATGTCCAGAGTTGCTAGGGGTATGGAGAAGTGGGGACGCATACATACACTGCTGTTTGTAATTGATACAGCCTTTCTGCAGGCTATTGGCAATTTTAAAGCTTTAAAAACTTTTGCACCTCTGTGACCCAGCAGCTCCACTTCTAGGACTTCATCCTGAAGAAATAATCAGGCATATGCACAGAGATATATGTTCAAAGTTTTAACAGTGAAAAGAAAACCCAAATGTCAACAACAGAGAATTGGTATTATTAAGGATATTATGAGGGGGTTCCCTGGTGGTGCAGTGGTTAGGAATCCTCCTGCCAATGCAGGGGACACAGGTTCAAGCCCTGGTCTGGGAAGATCCCACATGCTGTGGAACAACTAAGCCCATGAGCCACAACTACTGAGCCCATGCGCCTAGAGCCCGTGCTCTGCAACGAGAAGCCACCACAATGAGAAGCCCACGCACCGCAACAAAGAGTAGCCCCCACTCGCTGCAACTAGAGAGAGCTCGCATGCAGCAACCAAGACCCAACGCAGCCAGAAATAAATAAACAAATTTATAAAAAATAAATAAATATATAAAAGTTACATGCAATTTAAAAGAAAAAAGATATTAGGAGGTTTTAATGTTTGTTATGGACTGAATTGTGTCCCCTCAAAATTCATATGTTGAAGCCCTAAGCCCCAGTGTGACTGTATTTGGAGACAGGGCCTTCAAGGAGGTAATTAAGGTTAAATGAGGCCATAAGAGTGGGGCCCTAACCCAATGGGACTGGAGTCCTATAGGAACAGACACCAGGACTGGTGTGCAGAAAGGAAAGGCCATGTGAGGACACAGTGAGAAAGTGGTCATCTGCAAGCCAAGAACAGAGGCCTCACCAAAAACCAACCCTGTCTGCTCCTTGATCTTGGATTTCCAGCCTCCAGAACTGTGAGAAAACAAACTTCTGTTAAGCACCCAGTCTATGGTATTTTATTACTTGCAACCTGAGCCGACTAATACAAGGTTCATTTTGCTTGTCTGTTTTCTGATTGTTCTATAATGAGCCTGTTTTAAATTTTGAAATAAGAAATAAATTTCACTTTGAAAAAGGTAATTTAATCAATTCCTAAAAATGGAAAAAGTAAAATTTTTACTGAAAAAAAAAGTATATTCATAACATATCCAACTTTTGTTCTTGTAGGTTTTTTTCATTTTTTTCAGATCTCCACATCTCCACAGTTCTGCAAAATAGGATTCTTCTTCACCTGCCACAGTCTCTACCAGTTTTGTTGATGTGACTGTAATGGGCATCTAATCCTTAAACATATCTCATAACCCAGCAGAGTAGTCCTTTTACTCAAAACTATGGATTATACCATAAGGAGTTGGTATTAATAATGAAATATCATTAATGAATCAATTTTATCTTCATGCTTGCTCAGAACATTACTTCTGCTTCCTTTTTGTCATTGCAGCGGTGAACTTTGACCATAAATATGTTTTATTTAACACCATATAAACTATTTACCACTATATAAACAGAAATCTGCTTGTCTCTGCAAATGAACTCACAATATCTTGATACATTTCCCATCAAGTACATTTTGAGTTTCAGATACTCAAAGGTTAAAAACAGTCACCCAGGGCTTCCCTGGTGGCGCAGTGGTTGAGAGTCCGCCTGTCGATGCAGGGCACACGGGTTCGTGCCCCAGTCCGGGAAGATCCCACATGCCGCTGAGCGGCTGGGCCCGTGAGCCATGGCCGCTGAACCTGTGCATCTGGAGCCTGTGCATCCGGAGCCTGTGCTCCGCAGCGGGAGAGGCCACAACAGTGATAGGCTCCAACAGTGAGAGGCCCCGCTACCGAAAAACAACAACAACAAAAAAAAACAGTCACACAAGAAAAATGAATTATGTAACTGGGATCCTTCATTTGTTTTTTTAAATCCTGCAAAATGACAAAGTAGATTCAAAAAGCTATTCACCAGAGAATATAGCTTTGGGTCCGCTTGCTCTTGTTGCAGCCCTGGGTAAAAGAAAGTTAAGAGAAAGGTTAAAAATCTTATTGAAACCATTTCCCCAAATTCAGAAAATCTCTGGAGAAAAGGGACCCCTCCTCTGCTGTTGGTGGGGATGTAAATTGGTGCAGCCACTATGGAGAACAGTATGGAGGTTCCTAAAGAAACCAAAAATAGAGTTACTATATGGTGTTGCAATCCCACTCCTGGGCATATATCTGGAAAAGACAAAAGCTCTAAATCAAAAAGATACATGCACCCCAATGTTCATGGCAGCCCTATTTACAATAGCCAAGACATGGAAGCAACGTAAATGTCCATTGACAGGAGAATGGATAAAGATGTGATACATACATACAATAGAATATTACTCAGCCATAAAAAGAATGAAATAGTGCCATTTTCAGCAACATGGATGGATGTAGAGATTATTTATCATACTAAATGAAGTAAGTCAAAGACAAATATATAATATCACGTATGTGGATTCTAAAAAAGGATACATATGAACTTATTTACAAAACAAATAGACTCACAGATGTAGAAAACAAACTTATGTTCACCAAAGGGGAAAGGGAGAGAGGGATAAATTAGGAGCATGGGATTAACATGTACACACTACTGTATATAAAACAGAACCCTAATGAGTTTATTTTATTAAGAATGTTTAAATTGAATTATAAGTGAAATATAATATTAGCTTCAGGTATATAACACAGTGATTTGATATTTTTATATATTATGAAATGATCACCATACAGAGTTATTACGATATTATTGACTACTTTCCCTATGCTGTACATTACATCCGCATGACTTGTTTATTTTATAACTGAAAGTTTGTACCTCTTAATCTGCTTCCCTCATTTCACCTGTCCTCTCTCCCTTCTGGCAACTACCAGTTTGTTCTCTGTATCTATGAGCCTGTTTCTGTCTTTTTTTCTTCTTCCGGTTTTAGTGAGATATAATTGACATACAGCACTGTATAAGTTTAAGGTTTACAGCATAATCATGAAATGATTATCACAATAAGTTTAGTGAACATCTATCATCTCATATAGATACAAAATTAAACAAAAAAATTTTTTTCCTGTAATGAAAACTCTTAGGATTTACTCTCTTAACAACTTTCATATATAACATTCAGCAGTGTTCATTATATTTATCATGTTGTACATTACATCCCTAGTACTTACTTATCTTACAACTGCAAGTTTGTACCTATTGACCACCTTCATCCAATTCTCTTCCACCCCACTCCCTGCCTCTGGTAACCAAAAATCTGACCTCTGTTTCTATGAGTTTGTTTTTGAAGTATATTTTACCTACAACACTATGTTAGTTCCTGTTACACATCATACTGATTCAATATTTCCATACATTTCAAAATGATCATCATGATAAATCTAGTTACGATCTGTCATCATACAAAGATGTAATTATTGACTATATTCCCCACACTGTACATTCCTCAACTGTAACTCATTTATTTTGCAACTGGAAGTTTTTACCTTTTAATCTTCCTCACCTATTTCTCTCCTACCCCAACACCTCTTCCTTTTGGCAACCACCTATTTGTTCTCTGTATCTATGACTGTGTTTCTGTTTTGTTATGCTTGTTCATTTGTTTTGTTTTTTAGATTCCATGTGTAAGTGAAATCACATAGTATCTGTCTTTCTCTGATTTATTTCATTGAGCATAATACCCTCTAGGTCCATCCACGTCGTTAAAAATGGTAATTTCATTTTTTTAAAAAAAAAAAATTTATTTATTTATTTGACGGCGCCAGGTCTTAGTTGCATCAGGTGGGATCTTTGCCGTGTGCGGGATCTTTGTTGTGGCCTATGGAATCTTTAGTTGTGGCATGTGGGATCTTTTAGCTGCGGCACTTGGACCCTTAGTTACGGTATGCAGGATCGAGGTCCCTGACCAGGGATCAAACCTGGGCTTCCTGCATTGGGAGCATGGAGTCTTAACCACTGGACCACCAGGGAAGTCCCGCAATTTCATTCTTTTTTATAGTTAATATTCCACTGTATATTTATACCACATCTTCTTTATCCATTCATCTATTGATGGGCAGTTACATCACTTCCGCATCTTGTCTATTGTAAACAGTGTTGCAATGAACATAGTTGTCCATATATTTTTTCAAATTAGTGTTTTTATTTTCTTCAGAAAAATATATAGAAGTGAAGTTGCTGGATCTATGGTAGTTCTATTTCAGTTTTTTAAGGAACCTCTATACTGTTTTCCATAGTGGCTGTACCAATTTACATTCCCACCAAAAGAGCATGAGGGTTCCCTTTTCTCCACATTCTCGACAACACTTACTGTTTCTTATCTTTTTGATGACAGCCATTCCGACAGGTGTGAGATGGTTTTGATTTGCCTAATGAGTTCATTTTAAACACATTTCTCTCCACCATTCCACTCACCTTTGGGTGACTTTGCACAAATGTAGCTGCCTCCTTAAAGTAATCTAAATTTAAATCTTTCATGATTGGAGGTAGATCTTCATAACCAAAACACGGCAAATCCTTGACAAGCCAGGAGACTCGCTTAAGATTCATTTAACCCTCCATCACCAACCATGTCAATCAAACCAGGAAAAGGACCATCTCCTATAAACCAGGAAAGGGGATTAATCTTGGATTAGATGACAGAACATTTAATGAACTATGATACCCAGCTAACATTTTCTAAGTCAGAGTCTAGTTGTATGATGTATTCTTTTCTTTTTTAAATATTTGCCTATCTGCTTGGAAAAGAAAACATCTGTTTTGGTTGAAATAGGATTATTGTTGTGGTTGAAATAGATAAATAGACTATTTTGAAGCTGTAAATGTACAAATGGTTTTATATCTCCCCCTGCCATGAGAAAATCACTGGGAAGTGGAAAAAATTATGAAAATTAGCACCAAAGAAATGGAAAGTGTTTTGGTTTGAAGTGTCAGTCCTGGTAAATCTAAGTAAATAGTTCTGCAGACTTCGAGTTATGAAAATATAATACCTCATTTTAAAAAATCCAGCTTTAAAAGGCCCTTTGACTTCTCAACAAACAAGAAACAGAGTGACCAAAATCTGTAATTAAACAAGGTTTAAACTATTTTAAAGGTCTAACAAAGGTGTAATATAAAGTGAACAGTATGTGTGGAAAGGTAGTAAAATGTCAAACTAATAGCCCCCCTAACATTGGTCTGTTATTTCTCTCTTAACACCCCTACTGGGGCTTCCCTGGTGGTGCAGTGGTTGAGAATCTGCCTGCCAATGCAGGGGACACAGGTTCGAGCCCTGGTCCGGGAAGATCCCACATGCCGCGGAGCAACTAAGCCCATGCACCACAACTACTGAGCCTGTGCTCTAGAGCCCACGAGCCACAACTACTGAAGCCCGCGTGCCTAGAGCCCGTGCTCCTCAACAAGTGAAGCCACCGCAATGAGAAGCCCGAGCACCGCAACGAAGTGTAGCCCCCGCTCGCCACAACTAGAGAAAAGCCTGCACGCAGCAACGAAGGCCCAACACAGCCAAAAATAAATAAATTAATTAAAAAAAACCCTACTGGAGATTATGTTATTCATTCACCACTCCAAGAGAGGAATTTCCCAGCCAATTGCCTCCTGGTATTTTTCTGATATATACCTCTGTGTTATTCCAATTAAAAGTGCTAGATAAATCTATATAAGTACAGAAGAAATGGCAAGAACATGAGGATAGAAACCAAACTACAAGGCCTAAAATTCCTGTGCCAGAGGCCATTTCTAAGTTCTCAAATCTAGAAAGACGTTAGGCACATCTAGCTACCAAAATGTAATCTAGGGTGTACATATTAAGGTAGTGATCTTTATAAGGTGGTTTTCTTAACATTTAGATATCTCAGCATATCTTGAACTGCTTTTTTTAAAATTAGATAAATCTCAAGCATTTCTAGATTCAAGATTAGTTCCAGAAAGCCTAAAGCAAACCATGAAAAAGACACAACGTACAGACCCTCAAATCATTCTGGCAATAGAGTTTTCCAACCATAGGCTTCAAAATACTCACCTGCTTATCACATTAAAATAACTCAGAATTTTGTTTATTTTGTTTCAATTCATTAATTTAATCCCCAGTATGAAAATTTGCTAGGATCTTATAGGCTATTTCAAAAAAATCTTACCTACTCGTCCTCAAACCCCAGCCACGAAAATGTTAAATCTCTCATTTAAAAGATTCTTAGAGAGTTCTCCGGTGGCCTAAGTGGTTAGGATTCAGTGCTGTCACTGTGGTGGCCTGGGTTTGATCCCTGGTTAGGGAACTGAGATCCCGCAAGCTGCAGGGCGCAGCCAAAATACTAAAAAAAAGAAAAGAAATAAAATAAATAAAAGATTAGTTAGCTGTTCCTGAGGATCCTGAGGGTGGGAGTAGGGGATAAGCCAGACTGGGCTTTTAAAAACCCAATTATTTCACTCATTGATTCACTCATTCAGCCTGTGTTTATAAAGGTCAGAGTTAGACCTCAAAGAGTTGACTGCAGCCTGATTTCAGCATCACCTAGCTGTGTGATTTGGTTAAAACACTTTGGTCCTTGGTTTCCTCATTTATATTATACAGAAGCTGTTCTTTGATCTATGAAATGAGCAACACAACAGTTTTCTCATCATGGTGGAGGTCTCCAAGTTATTAGAATATGTCAGATAACAACAAAAAGGTCATCTTTATCTTAACGTGAAGGCAGTGTAAAAGAGTGAGCAATATATAGTGTGCCTTCAGTCACTTTGGGGCTTGGACAGATACCAATGACAGATAAGGTTTGTATCCACTACTCTCGCCATTTTTTAACAAGAATTGATAACGAGAAAAGTTAACACAAAGCTCTGCCTAGCAGAGGTAGGCAAGCAAGCATGTAATGCTAGAAACTGTACAGCAATTTTAGGCTTAGTAAGAGCAAATTTGCAAAGTATATGCTCTCAAGGAATAGATTCTGCAGCACTAGGAGTTAGGATGGGCAGCTGGCAGAAAAGAGGTATGCAAGCAGATCAAATTTAAATCCCGGCCACCACTTAGGGGAATGAATGTCCCACCTGATGTCTAGGAGACAAAATAAAGGAATTAAGACACTCATGTGGGATTGGTTCAAGATGGCAGAGTAGAAGGACGTGCTCTCACTCCCTCTTGTGAGAGCACTGGAATCACAACTAACTGCTGAACAATCATCGACAGGAAGACACTGGAACTCACCAAAAAAGATATCCCACATCCAAAGACAAAGGAGAAGTCACAATGAGACGGTAGGAGGGGTGCAATCACAATAAAATCAAATCCCGTAACTGCTGGGTGGGTGACTCACAAACTGGAGAACACTTATACCACAGAAGTCCACCCACTGGAGTGAAGGTTCTGAGCCTCATGTCAGGCTTCCCAACCTGGGGGTCTGGCAACAGGAGGGGGAATTCCTAGAGAATCAGCCTTTGAAGGCTAGCAGGATTTGATTACAGGACTTCGACAGGACTGGGGGAAACAGAGACTCCACTCTTGGAGGGCACACACAAAGTAGTACGTGCATCAGGACCCAGGGGAAGGAGCAGTGACCCCATAGGAGACTGAAGCAGACCTACCTGCAAGTGTTGGTGGGTCTCCTGCAGAGGTGGGGGGTGGCTGTGTCTCACCGTGTGGACAAGCACACTGGCAGCAGAAGTTCTGGGAAGTACTCCTTGGCGTGAGCCCTCCCAGAGTCCGCCATTAGCTCCACCAAAGAGCCAGGGAAGGCTCCAGTGTTGGGTCACCTCAGGCCAAACAACCAACAGGGAGGGAACCCAGCCCCACCCATCAACAGTCAAGTGGATTAAAGTTTTACTGAGCTCTGCCCACCAGAGCAACAGCCAGCTCTACCCATCACCAGTCGCTCCCATCAGGAAACTTGCACAAGTCTCTTAAATAGCCTCATCCACCAGAAGGCACACAGCAGAAGCAAGAAGGACTACAAGCCTGCAGCCTGTGGAAAACAACATTCACAGAAAGATGGACAAGATGAAAAGGCAGAGGGCTATGTACCAGATGAAGGAACAAGATAAAACCCCAGAAAAAGAACTAAATGGAGATAGGCAACCTTCTAGAAAAAGAATTCAGAATAATGACAGTGAAGGTGATACAGGACCTCAGAAAAGAATGGAGTCAAAGATTGAGAAGATGCAAGAAATGTTTAACAAAGACCTAGAAGAATTAAAGAGCAAACAGAGATGAACAATACAATAACTGAAAAGAAAAATACACTAGAAGGAATCAATAGCAGAATAACTGAGGCAGAAGAACGGATAAGTGACCTGGAAGACAGAATGATGGAATTCACTGTTGCGGAACAGAATAAAGAAAAAAGAATGAAAAGAAATGAAGACAGCCTAGGAGACCTCTGGGACAACATTAAATGCAACAACATTCGCATTATAGGGGTCCCAGAAAGAAAAGAGAGAGAGAAAGGACCCATGAAAATATTTAAAGAGATTATAGTCAAAAACTTCCCTAACATGGGAAAGGAAATAGCCACCCAAGTCCAGGAAGCGCAGAGAGTCCCAGGCAGGAGAAACCCGAGGAGGAACACACCAAGACACATAGTAATCAAATCGGCAAAAATTAAAGACAAAGAAAAATTATTGAAAGCAGCAAGGGAAAAATGACAAATAACATACAAGGGAACTCCCATAAGTTAACAGCTGATTTCTCAGCAGAAACTCTACAAGCCAGAAGGGAGTGGCATGACATATTTAAAGTGATGAAAGGGAAGAACCTACAACCATGATTACTCTACCCATCAAGGATCTCATTCAGATTCGATGGAGAAATCAAAAGCTTTACAGACAAGCAAAAGCTAAGAGAATTCAGCACCACCAAACCAGCTCTACAACAAATGCTAAAGGAACTTCTCTAAGTGGGAAACACAAGAGAAGAAACGGACCTACAAAAACAAACCCAAAACAATTAAGAAAATGGTCACAGGAACCTACATATCGATAATTACCTTAAACATTTAATGGATTTAATCCATTTAATGGATTATATGCTCCAACCAAAAGACGCAGGCTCGCTGAATGGATACAAAAACAAGACCCATATATATACTGTCTACAAGAGACCCACTTCAGACCTAGGAACACATACAGACTGAAAGTGAGGGGATGGAAAAAGATATTCCACGCAAATGGAAATCAAAAGAAAGCTGGAGTAGCAATACTCATATCAGATAAAATAGACTTTAAAATAAAGACTGTTACAAGAGACAAGGAAGGATACTACATAATGATCAAGGAATCAATCCAAGAAGAAGATATAACAATTATAAATATATATGCACCCAACACAGGAGCACCTCAATACATAAGGCAACTGCTAACAGCTATAAAAGAGGAAATCGACAGTAACACAATCATAGTGGGGGACTTTAACACCTCACTTACACCAATGGACAGATCATCCAAACAGAAAATCAATAAGGAAACACAAGCTTTAAATGACACAATAGACCAGATAGTTTTAATTGATATTTATAGGACATCCCATCCAAAAACAGCAGATTACACTTTCTTCTCAAGTGCACACGGAACATTCTCCAGGATAGATCACATCTTGGGTCACAAATCAAGCCTCAGTAAATTTAAGTAAGAAAATTGAAATCATATAAAACATCTTTTCTGACCACAACTCTATGAGATTAGAAATCAATTACAGGGAAAGAAAAACATAAAAAACACAAACACATGGAGGCTAAACAGTATGTTATTTAATAACAAAGTGATCACTGAAGAAATCAAAGAGGAAATCAAAAAATACATAGAGACAAATGACAATGAAAACACGATGATCAAAAACCTATACGATGCCCCAAAAGCAGTTCTAAGAGGGAAGTTTATAGCAACCTCAGGAAACAAGAAACATCTCAAACAATCTAACCTTACACCTAAAGGAACTAGAGAAAGAAGAACAAACAAAACCCAAAGTTAGCAGAAGGAAAGAAATCATAAAGATCAGAGCAGAAATAAATGAAATAGAAACAAAGAAAACAATAGCAAAGATCAATAAAACTAAAGCTGGTTCTTTGAGAATATAAACAAAATTGATAAACCATTAGCCAGACTCATCAATAAAAAGAGGGAGAAGACTCAAATCAATAAAATTAGAAATGAAAAAGGAGAAGTTACAACAGACACAGCAGAAATACAAAGCATCCTAAGAGACTACTACAAGCAACTCTATGCCAATAAAATGGACAACCTGGAAGAAATGGACAAATTCTTAGAAAGGTAAAACCTTCCAAGACTGGACCAGGAAGAAATAGAAAATATGAACAGGCCAATCACAAGTAATGAAATTGAAACTGTGATTAAATATCTTCCAACAAACAAAAGCCCAGGACCAGAGGGCTTCACAGGTGAATTCTATCAAACATTTAGAGAAGAGCTAACGCCAATCCTTCTCAAACTCTTCCAAAAAATTGCAGAGGAAGGAACACTCCCAATCTCATTCTATGAGGCCACCATCACCCTGATACCAAAACCAGACAAAAATACTGCAAAAAAAGAAAATTACAGACCAATATCACTGATGAACATAGATGCAAAAATCCTCAACAAAATACTAGCAAACAGAATCCAACAGCACATCAAAAGGATCATACACCATGATCAAGTGGGATTTATCCCAAGGATGCAAGGATTCTTCAATATACGCAAATCAACCAATGTGATACACCATACTAACAAACTGAAGAATAAAAACTATATGATCATCTCAATACATGCAGAAAAAGCTTTTGACAAAATTCAACACCGATTTATGATAAAAACTCTCCAGAAAGTGGGCACAGAGGGAACCTACCTCAACATAATAAAGGTTATATATGACAAACCCACAGCAAATATCATACTCAATGGTGAAAAACTGAAAGCACTTCCTCTAAGATCAGGAAAAAGACAAGGTTGTCCACTCTCACCACTATCATTCAACATAGTTTTGGAAGTCCTAGCCACAGCAATCAGAGAAGAAAGAGAAATAAAAGGAATACAAATTGGAAAAGAAGAAGCAAAACTATCACTGTTTGCAGATGACGTGATACTATACATAGAGACTCCTAAAGATGCCACCAGAAAACTACTAGAGCTAATCAATGAATTTGGTAAAGTTGCAGGTTACAAAATTAATGCACAGAAATCTCTTGCATTCCTATACACTAATGATGAAAAATCTGAAAGTGAAATTAAGGAAACACTCCTATTTACCATTGCAACAAAAAGAATAAAATACCTAGGAATAAACCTACCTAGGGAGACAAAAGACCTGTATGCAGAAAACCATAAGACACTGATGAAAGAAATTAAAGATGACATGAATAGATGGAGAGATATACCATGTTCTTGGATTGGAAGAATCAATATTGTGAAAATGACTATACTACCCAAAGCAATCTACAGATTCAATGCAATCCCTATCAAATTACCAATGGCATTTTATTTATTTATTTATTTATTTATTGCGGTACACGGGCCTCTCACTGTTGTGGCCTCTCCCATCGCAGAGCACAGGCTCCGGACGCACAGGCTCAGCGGTCATGGCTCACGGGCCCAGCCACTCCGTGGCATGTGGGATCTTCCCAGACCGGGGCACGAACCCGTGTCCCCTGAATCGGCAGGTGAACTCTCAACCACTGCGCCACCAGGGAAGCCCCCAATGACATTTTTTACAGAACTAGAACCAAAAAATCTTAAAATTTGCATGGAGACATAAAAGGCCCCGAATAGCCAAAGCAGTCTTGAGGGAAAAAAATGGAGCTGGAGGAATCAGAGTCCCTGACTTCAGACTATACTACAAAGCTACAGTAATCAAGACAATATGGTACTGGCACAAAAACAGAAATATAGATCAATGGAATAGGATAGAAAGCCCCGAGACAAACCCATGCACCTATGGTCAACTAATCTATGTCAAAGGAGGCAAGGATATACAATGGAGAAAAGACAGTCTCTTCAATAAGTGGTGCTCGGAAAACTGGACAGCTACATATAAAAGAATAAAATTAGAACACTCTCTAACACCATACACAAAAATAAACTCAAAATGGATTAGAGACCTAAATGTAAGACCGGACACTATAAGTCTCTTATAGGAAAACATAGGAAGAACA